GACGGAAAATGTTTCAGATCCTTTCTTTTCAGTTGATCTATCATAAGTTGCAATTTACTTTTGAATGCGTTTACTGCGCTAATCATCTCAATAATAGTTTTTCCTTTACCTTGAAGCTCCAAGTTAACGGTGTTTAAGTGCATTGTGATGTCAGTCAAAAATGCCAAATCATTTAGCCATTTTTCGTTTTTCAAAATCTGAGTGTCATCACCTCTTTCGTCTAGAAAAGCTGTTATTTCGGGCAATAATTCTTGAAACCTTTCTAGGAATTTTCCGCGACTCAACCACCTGACGTCCGTGTGAAGAACTAAATCAGTGTGTTCAGCTGACTCCCTATCTTCCAACTGCAACTGAAAGAGCCGCCGTTGCAAGCTACGTGCACGGATGGAATTCACAATTTTTGTTGCAATGCCCATAATTTCCTCCGTGTTTAAAACTTTTGAACACAAAACTTGTTGATGTATAATGCAATGGAATGAAAAAAATGAAGGGAATTCTTCATTAGCTCGACACAATGCCACAAAACCGTTTTTGTTTCCAGTCATTGCTGGTGCTCCATCGGTTGTAATGCACATTAATTTATATATTGGTAGCTCGTAGTTTTTTACAAAATTTAAGAAAACGTCATATATATCTTCGCCACGGATCTTCCCCTTCAGAGGAATGATTGTCAAAAATTCTTAGTTAGCCAACATGTCATTGAATACCATCCGAATAAAAATACACAGCTGGCAGTGTCTGTCATATCGATGGATTCGTCGAACTGTAAAGAAAAGTATGTACATTCCATGATATCATGTTTTAGTTTATCTGCGATGTCTTGACTCATGACTTCAATACGCCTTGTGACAGTCGGACGAGATAACTGAAAGTTCTCTAATAGCAGACATGATTTCTGTTTTATTTTTAAAATCTCCAAATAAAGTCTCACCCGCTTCAATAAATGCTTCCTTCACCACCGATCCATCTTCAAATGGTTTCTTGTGTTTCGCCAAAATATGAGATATTTTAAATGACGCGATCGTAGCAGCTTTTGATTGTTTGGCTGGTCTTGTGAACATGGATTGTTCTTTTTTCAAACAAGATATCAAATCACTTACTTTTCGTTTTCTTAATTCACTCTGTGGCGGAAAATCCTTTTCATAGTTTTTATGAAACGTTTTATGATGCCTCTCTAAGTTACCACGCTTAGGTATTGCAACTGACGCACGACAAATAACACAAATGCACTTATCCTTCACCATAGAAAAGAAAAATTCTTCCTCCCAATCCTTATTAAAATGATACGTTTTAGATTTCTTCACTGCACTCATTTTCCACTATTTAATAATAAACTTTGTATCGACGTAGGATCGCTATCAAGTTACAATTCAGAATAACTCCAATTCCTGCAGGCGCAACATTTATATCGGCGTGAACGAAAGTCTCGAATGTTTCCGTCAAACGCGCCGCCCGAAACTAGACTGTACTGTCTCTCGTCTAGAAACAACACGGCTTTTCTTTGACAAGTGCCGCGCGTTCCTTTGATAAAGCCACCTTTTGCCGCAAGCAGTGTTATTTTATTACGTAATACATTTTTGTAGTTGATAGAATATCATCCCAAATTTGATTAATAATTATAATAAATATTGAATTAATAAAATAATTAGTTAATATATGTAAATATAAAATATGCTGTGTGGACAGTATTTTGTTGTCCCCACTTCTTTGAATTGCAATGATGCTTAGTCAAGCATTCTATGTATTTGTATAGTTCAGTATTAATAAAAATCGTTTAACTCTGCTGACAGTAGTTTAGTTACCTACCTACTTATTAAAATTTTTTTTCTTCTCGAGATCTACCCAAAAAGCACTCGCGATCGACCAGTCGATCGCGATCGACCGTTTGAGCACCCCTGACCTAGACAAACAAAACATATTTTGTCCATTTTAGCGAAGGAAAAAATGCGATTCGTTTGCCTTGCAATGCTTTTTACCATGTAACAACTTTATTTTACTCTCATTCATTATAGAAATCAACAGTATTTGATATTCTTCTTTAAGTGCCATCTCCACGACGGAGGTTGGCAATCATCATGGCTATTCTGACCTTTGAGGCAGCTGCTCTGAACAATTATTGCCTTGAACTGCAACCAAACCACTCTCTCAGGTTCTTCAACCAGGAAACGCGTCTTACGCGTTCTTACGCTTCTGCTACCCTCTATTTTTCCTTGAATTATGATTCTCAAGATGTTGAATATTTCGCCTCTCAATACATGTCCGAGATATTGCAATTTCCTTTCTTTTATTTTATTTTCCATTTCCCTCTCTCTGCCTCTTCTCCTTAACACTTCTGTATTCGTGACTCTATCTACCCATGGAATCCTTAACAATCTTCTAAATGTCCAGATTTCAAACGCGTTAAGTCGATTTATTGCATTCCGGTTTAATGTCCATGATTCAGCTCCATAGTAAAGTACACTGTGTATTTGATATTATTAATGCTTAATAAGTTGTTTTGTTAGGGCACTTTAACAAATAAATCAAATAAATGAGTGAAGGTGAGCAAATAGTGGGTGATACAAATAGAGAAACGATAAAAAGAAAAATATTACGACAAAAGAACGTAAGGGATAAAGAGGGTAGGGGAAGGGTGGGCATAGTGGCCACTGCGGGCATAGTGGTCACTAGTTGTTACTGTACAGTACAGTTTTGATACTCAGCGACGGGTCCGTCAACTCTTTCATTTGAACGTCATCTTAAATGTGTTAAAGGTGTAAACTGTTGTAATCATTTTTTAAAAGGTATTGAAAATGTTCATGTTTTTCAACATTCTAATATAAGGTAAATGTATTTAATTAATTATTACAACCAAACTTTCATTCATAATACAGGCAAAATATAGTAACGTCTTCAAAGAGGTGTATTTAGGCTACAAAACGATGTGTATGTGTAAAGCCTTGCTAAAATCGTTTAGCCGGTAGTGTAGCATTTATGTAATGGCAGCGAAGATGACAAAGTAGCCACGTCTGTGGTCACTTTGGCAACACACAACAACACATTGCCACTGCAATGCAAAGAGCAATCGATGCCGTGAAGAAAGACAGAATGCCTTATCAAACGACTGCTAAAACTTACAATCTGCCTAGGAACACATCGAACGTCGTGTACTAAATAAAAATCAAGACGCCACTGACAATAAAAACGTATTAGGCTCTTTTCGAGCTGTTTTGAACGAAGAACAAGAACAGCCGTTGATAAATTATCTCTTGGAGATGGAGGTACGTTTTTTTTGGCATTACTGTAGCTGATTTGTGCAGCCTTGCTTACCAAGTGGCTGAACGGAATAACATCCCCCATGGTTTCAATAGAGAAACGAAATTACAAACAACCTGAGCGTGTGTTAAGAAAACCTGAGGCGACTTCAGCAGCAAGGGCCCAAGCATTTAACAAAACGCATGTAACCAAATTTTTTGACATTTTCGAGGATGTTCAAAAACATCACTTGTATCCTCCTCATATGGTTTACAATGTTAATGAAACTGGACTTATGACTGTCCAGTTAAAGTCTTCAAAGGTTTTTACTCTAAAAAAGCGACGGCAAGTCGGATCTCTTATATCTGCAGAGAGAGGTGTTTTCAGCATATTTGTAATTTCTATGTCAGTTGAGAGAGTTTTTATTCCTCCTTTTATCATCTTCTATAGACAGCGGATGAAAGTGGAACTTCAAGATGGCGCTCCATTTTAATTAGCTTTTGTTTGTCATCCTTCAGGGTGGATGCAAACACAGATTTTCACACAATGGTTTGACCATTTCTTAAAGTTTGCAAAGACCACTCAGTTTTGATCATACTTGATGAACATTCCACCCATACAAAAAAATCTAGATTTCATTGAAAGGGCTAGAGAAAATCACACAACTGTAGTTTGCATTTCCCCCCACTGTAGTCATAAGCTGCGGTTACTCGATGTTTCTTTCATGGGGCCCTTCAATACTTATTATGTCCAAGCGATCGAACGATTCTTGTGTAATAATCCTGGTGATTTGTGACACAGTATCAGCTATCTAAACTTTCTATTTGGAGCTACTCTAACTATTGCAGTAAAGGGGTTTGGAAAATATGGCATACTTCCTATAAATAGACAGAAGTTTACTGACGCGGATTTTGCTGCAGCCATCACCACAGAAATACCCGTGCAAGATTATATCTCTCTTCAAGAAGCTAAAAATCAAGAACTTGGTGTTGAATATTAAGATGAAACTTCTGTTGTGGTGCCAGGAAAAGATTTGGCAAATTCGCAACAAAATATTCCTTGACGTCAACAAACACCACTTGCAAATAAAGAGAATCCGCTTTCTGGAGAGATAGGTTTCCGACCAGCAAGTTATTTCAGTACTTCATGTGATTTAATCAGCAACTCCAAGGGCAAGGGGCACTATACGTTTGCTGTAAACGCACACGATATTGTTCCAATCCTTAAAGCAAATATTATCAAACGAGAAAATAAGCGAAAAAAATTGACAGCTGCAGTTTTGACCTCAAGCCGTTTCAAGATGAAACTAGTAGCCGCAAAAGCAGAAAAAGAAGAAAAGGAATGGTTTAAGAAAATAAAGCTGGAACTGAAAAAAGGCAAGCAGAGTAACAAGAAGAATGAAGGAAGCAAAGAAAAAATTTAAAGAAAAGCAGAAATGCAAATCAAAATCAATTTAAAAATCCGAATGCGTCAATTCACTTATTTTTATGTTTTTTTAATAAAACTGTTCCCAAAAAAATATTATTATCACATTAAAAAGTGTGAAAAAATACTGGGCATTAATGGGTTAAAACGATGCAGTGGTACCTACCTAATATTAAAATGCATTTTTTGTACGAATGGCAGATCATAAAACATACCTGTATATTTTAAGGACGTATAATTTATTGAAATATTAAGAAATATTAACTTGTACTTGTTTTATTCATTTCTGCGATTTACTTAATCAATTTAATAATAAAATATATTTTTATCGTTTCACTTACGTAAATAAATGATGTACAAGACCACAAGCACTCTAAATAAACGTTTATCTCCGATCATAGTCGCTAAAAAACCATAACTCACAATAGATCGTGGAATACTAAATTGTTTACAAACTGGTCTTACCATTTCATAGAATGTTTAAAGCTTGTGTTAAATCATTTTTAAAATGGTTTGGAAGCCATTTAGATTATAATAATAGTGCCATTATCAATTCTTGAATTACCGGGAAGGTATTAATTGTTGTTTAATAAGACGATCGTAAATTTCTGTTATTTTATTTTATAACAACAATAAATTATATAAATATTTAAAATTATATAAATTTGATAGCAGATTCTGTTTTTTAGTCCATTGAAATGCTACATTTTTTATTCCTTAGTGTGCATTTAGACGACGCAATTTTTTTTTATATGTGGGAGGGTAAGCATAAGCTTAAGTTCAAGTTTGTAGGGTCACCAAGCTTGTTCCTCGGCAGCCATCTTGGAAAAATGGAGGAAAGAGTTTTCGCGTTGTATCTCGCAAACTAGCAGCCTTGCAAAAAAATTTTTATCAGATATTCTTATCACCGTGCCGGTGTAGTTTCCAAGAAGGAGGGATTCTGAATTGAGTGGGGGCTCTTCAGTACTTTTTGGAAAACACACTCGGAGGGGGGTAGTTCTCAACCTCAACACGGCGCGTCCCAATGACCGATAGAGAACGTCCTACAGATATGTGGGTCAGGTGTGAATAAGGCTTTGCCAAATAAACACCCGCGGATCAACTAAGAACATGGCATTGGGCAGCAGCTTTGTCATTACAGGTAAAATCTCTTTACCGGTCTGATACTGAATAATCACAGGCAGTAATTATAATTATAATTTAATGATGCTTAAACCGAGAAGAAGTTCCAGAAGAATAGAGACAATCGTATATCTCTCCAATACAGAAGAAAGACACAAAGGCGGATCCTAAAAACTATAGAGTGATTGCTACTATAGGCCGACTATACTCAAAAGTACTACAAAACCTAATAGAAAATGGATAGAAAATGATATTAAAGACAAACAACCCGAAGAACAAGCGGGATTTGGGGCCGGACGCTCCACTATGGATAATATTTTCACATTAAAAATTGCAGTGGAAAAAACGAATGCAGAGAAATAGAGAAACCCGTATAACTTTAATAGATTTAGAAAAAACATATGACAGTGTGCCGGTCTCCCAACTATGGATAGAAATGGGTAACTTGAAAAGAAACCCAATTCTTATTAACGCCACTCAAAAATACTACAAACAAAACTTTGCAAGAATTAAAATGGGACAAGAAATCACCGCTCCTTTTACAAAGATTCAAGTACAGCTCAATCAATGATTGATTTCATAAAATCATAAAAGTGCTGTAAAAGTCATTATGGTCGGGGTAAGAGCGTCTGCGGTTATCTTAGCCCTGAGTTATCTATTAAAAAATTTTGACGTATTTGAAAACAGACTCAAAAAGAACAGAAGAAGCCACTTGCATTTTACTTAAAGTTCTTCAAGATGTTCGAGATGAAATTCAATATAAGTTTTGGCAGTTCAAAGACAGACGTTTGTTCATTTTGTCATCTAACAAAAAGTGAAATAAATTTATGCAAAGACCTTTAACAAAAAGCTTCCCTTATTATTAAGTACGATAAGCCTGACGATACAGCCATTCTTGCAGAAAGTTTACAAGATTTCCAAACATTACTAAATCTAGTAGGTGAAGCAAGTTATCGGAGAAACCTTAAAATCAACATTTCAAAGACAAAGTGGATGGCAGTTAGAAAGATCAATATAGATAAAGGTCTGATTTCTCATAATGGAGAGGAGATCGAAAGGGTAAATCATTTCAAATACCTTGGCAGCTGGTTAAATGTAAACTGTGACTCTGATGAAGAGATAATAACCAGTATCGAAATATCACGTAAGGCTTTTATGACGCGGAAACCAGTTTTATGCAACAGAAACCTGTCGATGAATATTCGTAACAAGGTCCTGAAATGTTATGTGTGGTCCATCCTATTGTATGGTTGTGAGACATAAACGTTAAAAACCACAATGCTAAACAAGTTAGAAGCATTCTAATTGTGGTGCTCTAGACGAATCCTAAGGATATTGTGAGTTTTGCACACTTTCAATGAAGATGTTCTTCAAATGATCAATTCAGAACGACTGCTCATAAACACCATAAAGAGGAGAAAAACAGAATACTTCGGCCATATAATTAGAGGACCTAATTCTACTTCGCCTTATAATACAAGGAAAAGTGGAAGGAAAGAGATGGATTGGTCGAAAGAAACTTTCATGGCTGCGTAATATTAGACAATGGTGTGGTTTCACAGTAGAAGAATTATTTCGCGCAGCAGCCGACAGAGAAAGGTTTCAGGAAATTGTAAACATGATGACGGCCAACGTCTGAATACGGACACGGCACCCAAAGAAGAAGAAGATTACTACGTACAGATTGCACAACTTACGAGCTATGAAATTTTATGAACTGCTTAAAAGAACAGGAGCTTATGTAGTTAAGGTATCTTTTGACATGGAACAAAACCAGTCTCTTCCAAAACTAAAAGTTGGTGAGGTATTTTATTCCCGACAAATTTGGGTTTTTTAACCTTACTCTTCTATTGAAAAGATACACAAAATTCTACTAATACTTTTCTGTACACATGGACTGAAAACCAGAGTGGGTGAGGTTCCAAGGAAGACAAGCTTAAAAATGTTCCAGTAAAATCATTGACACTTGACTTGTTTGATACTTAGTTATGTGCAGACTTCCAGAGCGTTTAGTGATAGCAACATTGCTACTCCATCAGGCAGCATGTAGCGGAGACAATAGTTACATGCTGCCTGATGGAGTATTTGGACGTTTTAAAAAATATTTAGAAGAAAAGAAACAATAGTTGAACCAGAGGAGTACTACAAAGTGTTTGCACCTTCAGCTACAGTTTTAGGAAAAGACTGCGAACTTTTTGATTTCATGGATTCTGCAAAAACGAGTTTTATTGAAGAACCTCCCTTTTTTGATGTTTGAACAACGAGTTTTTTCATTTTCAAATAAAAGTAATAAAGACATTGAAGCTAAAATACCTACTGTGGTGATTCTAGTACTTTTAAAGTTATAAGAAAAGGATGCAATTTTCTGGGAGTGTACAGTACAGTGAAGTCTATGCCATGAGTGAATCATGTAAGTGAAAAGAAGAAATAAGATGTGGAAAACGTGGAAAACCTTCTCAAATTTATTTCATTATCTGCAAGTTCAAAGGACTTTTATAATACTGCACTTACAAATGTGCAAAGCGGTTTCAATGATAATAACGCTTAGTAATAGTGTATGACGAACTTTACTTTTCAATTTTTGACAAAAATGTGAATAATGGATTTTGATGTGAAAAACTTAATTTTTAATTATGTACTTAGATAGTTACTAAACCTTTGCTGACATCTTGAAGACAAGCTCTGATTATTAATAACTTACAAATGAATAATAATATGAAGTTTTCTCCCATATGAATTTTTAAAGTGCTTAAGTCACTGACTTAAGGTGGTTTTGAAAAAAAAAACAAATGTTTAACTTCTTAAAAGCCATGATTTTATGGTCAAATCTTACTTTAAATTGCCTTAAAACAAGAATTTGAACCTGCAAATTGCATGACTGATTCTATTCAAAAGTAACATTTAATTATATTCTTTTAAACATAGAAAAAAACCGGTGGCGGTTCGATATGCGGTCTACGGCAGAGTTTCTATTTTGGTATGCGGTCTACCGTCTGATATGCGATCTACCGTATGATAAGCGGTCTACCGAAATTTCGATATGCGGGGCACGTCATCTATCATCAAATGCTGTTGAAACACTCACTAAAATTCCATATTTATATGAAGCACCAAAATAAAGTAGTTCAATGAAAATTCAAAACTTTGATTGGTTTCTTAAAGTAAATTTATATGACAAGATTTAATTAGAGACATTTATACATATACATTTCTAACATTGTGTATAAAAATGATAAGCTGATCTTCTAAATTTCTTCGCAGCACTTTCCACGCAACATAATCCAAATGGAACTGCAAGGTACTGACAGGAACACCTCTCATTTTCTTCAAAATCGTAATTTTATCCTCCAACCAGGATTTTTCTCCATAAATAACATTGGCGATCTTTTGCATGCCGCAAAAGACAGATGTCTGGCCTTAAGATAATTCGCCAACGCACTTTAGGTGCACGGCACTATAAGAAGAAGAAGCGTATGTGCTGCTGATTGTGGGTCGACATAATTTTTCTGGTGGTTAATGGTTGAGTGCACTTGGTGCAAATTGCCGTATGTTGGCCATTCGTCCGAGGGAATTACTAACCCAGCTTCAACTTCTAATTTGTTTTAGTTTGTCATAATTTCGATAGTTTGTTTTTGCATTCTTAATTGACCAGTAATGAGTTTGTAATAGTTTCTTTAATTTATTTTTGTACCTATTTTAGCTATCAGCTAAACTGTCGTAGATCGCATATTAGACAGTAGAACGCATACCGAAGCGATGGCACCAAAAATTCGTTCCTGAAAAATTTACCTTTTTGACTTAAGACCTTTTGGAATTCACCTCTTTAATTATCAAAAAACATTGAAATTTTTCATTTTTTTAATATAAATTCATGTTAAGCTTGTGACTTTTAGAGCATAAATTTTTCAGCCATTGAAAAAAATAAGCATAAATACACTGGGGTGCAAAATTAACCGGACACTTAGATCTTTTTGTTTTTTGTTGGTACATGCGTTTTGTTATTAATGTGAAATAGTGGATTAGTATTATTTAAGTTTATTGTGGTAGTATGCTTGATTATAAATTCGGCTGTAAGTTTTTGTATTGTCTCCTGTTTAAAACTTATATTAAAAAAATTATGACACCAGAAGGAGCACCAGCTATTGCTATACTGGATGATGGGCGGAGCTTTCGTTACGTCGCAAATGCTTTAGGAATTTCTCGAAGTACAGTGTTTGATGCGATACAAAGATTTCGGGAAACAAGACAATACACCAGGAGGCCAGGTCAAGGTCGACGAAGAACCATAAATCAAGTTGAAGATCGCTTTCTTAGGTTACAAGCGTTACGTCATCGTACATTATCAGCACCACTGCT